TAGGTGCTACTTAAATTCCTCTACAGATTAGATGAAGCACAGAGAGGTTAAGGTCAGACAGCTAGCTAATAAGTGGTCAGGTCAGAAATGGAGCCCAGATAATCTGACTCTGGTGTCATGATTTAGTTCACAGAGTTGAAGGGAGCACTGGGTCACTGTCATACAACATACAAAAGCAATATGAAGATTGTAGTAATTAATTATTCTGGAAAAAAAAACCTACTCAGTTTTCCTTAGAATCAATGGGAATATTTAAACAATTGCTTAAATTTAAGTAATTTAAAAGCTTTTAAATTTAAAAGTTCTCAAAATGTTTGGGTTAGAGATGTCTGGGAAGCTGGTAGCAGAGGGCAGTCAGGTTCACTTTTCCAGGGTGACAAGTTCAGTGTCCTCTATGGGAATGTGCTGGGCTGGCTCTCCCTGTGTCTGAGGAGGAGACAAGAGCCGCACGGGGCATGGCGTTTGGTGGTGTGACTTTGGTCAGCTTCTGGAGGAGACTTCCTAGTGACACCTCGGTTTTAGCCAAACTTTTTAGCAGGAGCACAGCAAGCCTCCCCTGCAGCTATTTCCTCACTAAATGAATCAAGGGCGGGCAAACACCCAAGGGTTTCCTCTGAGCAAGGCACCAAGAGTTCTTGCATGCCGATGATTGCAGCAGCATGCTGTCTGCACTCCACTGCTGTTTGCACATTTAACACTGTGCTAATTGTGCAAACACAGTCAGGCAGAGCTGCCTGCCCCTACTGCACCTCTGAGGGCCCTGCAAACACTGCCAGCTGGAGTGCGGGGCTGTTGATGTTGCTCCTGTCCCCTTGGCATGGCGGGTCTGAGCGGTGAGCCTCACTCTGCAATCAGCCTGGAGAAAGAGAGAGAGAGAGAGATGCCTACAGGAAGGAAGACAAGCTAAGCAGAACAACTGACCAGGGTGGTGATATTGACCAGCATCACAAAGTGCCGTGTAGTTTATGGGGGTCTCTTCATGATCTGCATGTTGGGCACTTAAAGCTTTTCCATCACATAAAAATGATTGGTAAGAAGTTCTAGACTTGTGGGTAAGACAGTCACCAAAAGGGCAAAAGAGTTGACGAAATAGATGTGTCTTTGATTCAGATTTATAAGTGTTCTTTTGCTTTCTGTTAAGAACAAGATAGCACCCACTTTTTTCAAATATGCTCTCCGCTGTGTTTATTTAAAACCTTAGAAATTAAAGAAAAAATGTGCTGGTTTGTTAGACAAGAAAGCATTTCTAAGGGGCTCTTTTCCCTTCCAGATTTTATTTCCCATAGTCTAGAGATAATAATTATTTTCTCTCCCTATATACCAAATATAAAGTCATATACGAGGTATGATCAAATAATATGGGAAATGCTGCTGCTGAGTGCCATCCAACAGAAAGGCAGGGATCTTCAATGCGGGCAGTTGTGTGTCGAACCTTAGTAACAGTGTGTGACAAGTTTCAGCTTGTTCGGTGCAGTCAGTCAGGTGTGAGCTACGGTTGAGAGAAGTGTGTTTAAAGTGTGCCGTAAATCATTCTCCATCATGATAACAACGTTCCATGTCACATATCGCTTCTGGTATATGGCAATTTCTGTCAAATAAAAACATTATGGTGTGTCCTCATCCACCTTATTCACTGGATCTGGCACCGGGCCACTTCTGGCTCTTCCCAAACCAAAATGACTCAGGACATCGAGGCAGCCATGACAGCACAACTAAAGACACTCACAAAAGAGGACTTTCAGAACTAGTTCAGAAAGTGGCAAGAATGATGGGATAAGTGTGTTCAAAGCTAGGGGGAATATTTTGAGGGGGATTAATGGCAAGGTGTCTTTTACTGTAATAAAAATTTTTAATTTAAACACTCACTGTATTGTTTGATCATACCTTATAACTTAAATGAATGCATCTGGTCACTGAAGAAGAAGAATCATAGTGCATAAATTTGACAGTGTAGACATGATTCTTCTGTTATTTTAATTATTTATAATAATTTAGGAACCCTGGAGTAGGGTGGAGGTGAAGAAAGTTTTCATAACAATATCCATAAAGATCCTAATGGAAACCTATATGATAGCATTCCCTTTGGAGAGGATTGGGGATAAATCTTTTGGATAGAACATACTTTGATATATCAAATAGAATATCATATTATTTCTGCCTTTTCCCCAAATGACCCTGGTTCCTTTTTCTCTGCGTTTCCTTGTTTTCATCTAAATCATCACATAAAATGGTGGTTCATTCTTTCTACATTTTACTTCCTATAAGTCAACATGTGACTTAAAAGGTAATGAACGCTCTTAACTTGGGAGGCATGAGGTTAACTATTTTAAACATGAAATGGTTCATTCCCACTTACATGAAAGAGAGAACTAAACATAAATTTATTTTTCACATAATGGGCTGAAATTTTCTTTTGTGAATATGAATAAAAATAATGGCCTATAAAGTAGTTTAAAAAGCCATTCTAGAGGGTGTTTTGATTAGATGTCTGCCATTGACTAAGATACATTATTTTCTTAATACATTTCATTGCCTTTGGTGACTCCTCTCTCAAAGGGAAGGGAAAAAACAGTAAATTGAAGGTACATGCTAGCACATTAAAAAAAGTTCCAATGGCAGGACACAAATTATTTTATTACCACACCAACTGAGCCACTGATACTTCACAATTCATGAACAAATTTTCCATTACTATAGAGTCATGCTTTTATTGACTGTTATAAAATCACCATTTGTATCTTTTTTATCCTGCTGTGTTTCCATTTTATTGGAAAAGTCTTGTAACAGGTATAACATCAGCTCAGATTACCAAGAAATCTATAAAATAGCTTCCTGCTACTACCTTTGGTACAGATTGAAAGAATACATTATGATCCCACTGAGTTTCTGATAAAAACTGTGATTCACATGTTCCCATGATTTATCCTTATCTGTTAGACATCCAGGCTTTATCTGATTTATTAAATTATGGGACCATTTCACTGGTATTGATTAGTCATATAGGGATAATTAAAGCATCTAGGTCATGAAATTTAGGTACAAACTTTGGGCATGGTAATAAAAGTCAAGCAAAACAAACAAACAAAAAAAACAAAGGCCAAAAATGCTGTAGGAAATAGGAAAGTTCCAACAACAGGTCAAGGTTGCTAGTGCTTTGGTTGGGACTGACCACTTTGGTCTGTGATATGCAGATATGGTGATTGCCTAGGCTTAACACGAAAACACGGAAGAGAGCATGACAATAAGCTGAAAGTAGTACTAACTGGCTCATTTAAAAAAAAAAAAGAGCAAAAGAAAACCTATGGAATTGATTTTTAAATGATCAGTGTCAATAATTTTTACAAATAGTAAGTATGTATAATATAAAACTTTCATGAACGATGACTTGCATCTTTCAAACAGTAATAGAAGAATATCATTGATCAAAATTGCCAATAGTGAAGGAATTTCTATCCATGATCATATTCATGGGCCAGCTAGGAAAATCAGCTGAATACACATTCTTATTTCCTTCCACATGGCTTCTGTTGATGTTTAAATAGGATTTTTCTCAGTAATGGGGAGTGAGGTTTTTTTAAAATACAGAACAAACCATATCTGGACTATAACAACTGTTGCTGGTTTCCACAGAACAGGTCACATGGCAAAGGCAATGAGCCTTCACCACAAATGAGGACACGCTGGAAGGGTCAATCTTTTATGGACACCATGGACAAACTTTCTAGTCACCTGTTGCTTATAAACTTGAATGACCTACCCGTGTTAACATCACGATGTCTACTAGCTTTGTGTAGAACTATTTGTGCTTCTGAGAGAGTTTTCAGATAGCTCAGCCCATCTTAATCTTAGAGCAGCCCTATAAGTCAAGCTGATAGTTGAGTTATTTGACTGCTGAGTAACATGGTGGTTATGTAATGGGACCAAAACTCAATCTCAGGCCACCAACCCTCCTACCAGAGTTTTTAGCTAATGTGTCAGGTGTGTTTGGTCTTACAGAACAATGCTCTGGTGATTTATACCCACTTTCTGAACCCACAGTGTTATGTAATGTAAATTAATAAAGGGAACTATGATTTAAGACTTTTCTTTGCATTATAACAGTAGTAAGCGGTCAATATTTTAAAAGATGGTTTTACAACAGATTGAAAAATAATTTTTGGCTAAGAAGAACATTTAACCAGTAAAAGGAGGTTACTGAACACTGAGCAAGAGTGTTCAATTTTATATGAAAACTTATTTCATACACGCACTTTTATTGTTTGACTTATGTGTTGGAGGCTGAAGTACTGAAAATTCTATGGAGATAGTATATAATAAGATAGCTTTTTTCCAGTTACTGAGAAAGCTAAGGGTCCATTTTCTCTCCTTTCTAGCTTTTGATTAACTACCATTGTCCTGCTTTATATCATGGTTTTGTTCTTTAAAATGACCCATGAAGTTCTTAAAATGTGAAGTTGCTTTCCTATTGACACATGTAATGATTTCAGAGATGCTTTATTTTTATTTCTGATAGCTCTTCAATTGGTTATGGCTTCTATAATGTAAACTTTAAATTCCCTTCTTTCTGTCATCTAGGTTCACTCATAATCTCCAACGAAACACTTAAAAAGACAGGAGAGCTCTTTATAAAGTCATCCAGTGATGAATCTTTTATATAGTGGAAATAAAACCCCTTTGAAATATAAACTATTTGCAATAAGTTAGATGTTTTTTGAATATATGGCTTTTTAAATGTTTATGCTTCTATGGTGTGAGGATAAGGAGAAGAGCACACTGTAAATATAAGCCCACATAATTATTTGCCAATTAAAATATAAGCATCAGATAAAAAAGAAAGCGTTTCAACATGCTCACTTTTATATGTTGGAGAAGTTATTTTCCCTATGATTAAAAGATATCCCTTGTAAGGCACTCATCAAAAATTCCCTGTCCTTCTAGCACCGAAATGATTGTAATTCTGTCAACATGTCGTAGGGGCATATATAACCTTCTTTTATTGTGTCAGCCTACAGGCATCCTTGATCTCAATTGGTGTGAATTTCATTTAATTGCCATACTGTGGAAAGATGTAAGGTAGGTTCTGTGATTTTTTTTCCCCTCTAGTTCACACTTTCTTTTCCTCTTGAAGAAGATGAACATGTCTAACTTAATTCTGATGGCTAGTCTTTAATTAGTTATAATTCAGCTATCATCCTGTTTTATATTTCAGGTCAATATTGGTAATTGTACTGCATACTTTCTTTGTGTTTCCAGATACAGCTTTCTTTTACCAGTAATAATGCTGATGATGTTGGTAATGACAAGTAAAAATAGTGATATATATATATATATATATATATATATAAATGCAAAAAAAAATGAGACTTCAGAAAATTGCCTCAATTTAAAGGTTGTTCTTGGAGGAAATTTCCTGTTTTCTAGTGGAAAAAGATTTTGATATTTGGGGAGGATTTTCATTTTTAATCACTATCCAAATATTGCCCGAAAGTAGAGTCTTATATCGATTTCTTTGCTCTCATCTACATCAATATTTTCTTTGGTACTACTTTGATTCATTCACAATGAGTCATCCCATTCTTTATTAAATTGCAAGAGTGTTGGCATCACTGGGTCTTAGAGGGAACCAAAATTGTGAAAGCAGAATTGCATGCTATCCCAGCATTTGAAGCAGCTATCTGAAAACAGGAGTTCACCTGATTAATTCATATACGGGCCTTAAAATGACTGAAGGGCAGTTCAGGGTTATTTGCAGATCTCAAGGCGGATAAATGCATCTGGTGGTATGTAGGCAGGCACAGACTTTTCATGAATTTTTCCTGCTGTTTGGATTGCATCTAGGTAGTCAGCCCACAAGTG